CGCGAAGTAACTTTTCCATAACTATACAAACGACAGAAGTAAGTGAAATAGATTGATATTTTTCTGGATCAGTATGACAACCTTTCTTGGGTAAGACATTTGCAAGTTTCCAATATGATGGAACTTGACCAGAAACTATGGAGCATTTAAATTAAAATAAATAAGGCCCACTGAAACTATCTGAGCAACTTTTTAAAATATAAGCGTGTATACCATCAACACCCATATCTTTTGAATCATCAAGGGGTGATAATAAAGCTTCTAGATTTTTGCTTGAGAATAAGGACCAGACGTCTGGAGAACAGATTGCATTAGCTCTAATACTAAACACTGGTAAGCTTAAGTTACTTTTGATAGGAGAAAAAGATTCGGAAAAACAAAGATTGAAACATTCTGCGATTTGTTTTTCATCAACTAGTTGATTCCCAATTAAGTCAAAAATAGAACAAATTACACTTTTACAAGATCTTTGACTGTTTACATATGAATAAAGCTATTTTAGATTGGATTTAAAATTTGAGATAAGGTAATTCTCGTATTTATTGATAGAAGTTGTAACTAGCTTTTTTGACGATACGAATTTGTTTATTATAAAGAACGCTTATTTTGTTTAGATGAAGCGCCTTATAGTTTCTTAAACAGACGAAACTTCTCCGCAAACTTCTTTAATAGCAGAATTAAACCATTTAGGATTACATTTATTGTAACAAAATCTAGTAATACGGATATATATCCGTATTACTAGATTCGCGCATTTTATTGTATTCTAAACGGAAAAGTTCGAAACATTCGTCAGCTGACTTGCCATAAAATAAATTAATCCAAATGACGGCAACAAGACATTTACTAATTTCAATGTATTTTCTTTACTGTAATAGTCCCTCATACTATTGAAGCTAATAGATTCTACCGATGTTTTTAATTTGAACTTCCAAAAAAGAGTATTGTGTCCAACTGAGGAGTGGTCCAACGTTGACTTTATTTATTTGATTTAAATTATCGCAGAACATCAGGCCAAGAATATTATTTAAAAAAGTTGGCTCGCGAACAAAATGCGTATAGAAACAGTCATTGACAAAATCAAGAAAATTATGACTTGGTTGTTTATTTTTTGTAGATTAGCCTCCAAAATCAGACTAAATAATATCGTTGTGATTGATAATAATATCGTTGTGATTGATAATAATATCGTTGTGATTGATAATAATATCGTTGTGATTGATAATAATATCGTTGTGATTGAAGTCAACAATTTAAGCGTTAGTGTATTTTTAATTGTCGACCAATAACTTTGTACGCGCAATTGATTTTTTAATAACTATATTAACTCTTGGTTGATGTATGGATAACGATAGATATAGCCGATTAGTATGCTAAGCCAATAATCATCTGACACCAATTTTTTTAAAAGTGTTATTTAAAAATAAATATTTTAAAATTATTTTATTTAAAAGTAATTATTTTTTTAAAAATAATTATATAAAGAACTTTATTACATAAAAGTGATAATTAAAATTATTTGGTGGTTGGTATGTAGTTGTTACGATAATATTTTTGGATGATTTGTTGTAAGTTTCTAATGTGAATGATTTAAAGTGTGAAAGATGTGAATGATTTAAAGTGTGAAAGATCTAATGTGAAAGATTTAAAGTAAAACGACAGATCATATCTAATTTTATAAGCGAGTTCTTTAAAAACATTTATCACAACCTGTTTTAGAAAAAACTAATGGCTTTGTAATTGGGCAAGATAAAATTGGACTTGTAATAAAATTTTATATCTGAAATCCAGTTTTTGATTAAACAAATTAAACTAAAGTTCTAATTGAAATTATTTAATGAGATCTTCAGTCTTTAAAATTTTTAGTAACAAATAAAAACTTTTATTAAAAATTTAAAACTTTTAATAAAAATTTAAATGAAACAATGAGAAATAATTATGAAAAATAAAACACTGTGAAATGATTAAGAAAAAAAATGAAATGATTAAGTCAAAAACGTTTGAATATAGTCATGATAGGAATTTCGTTTTTGGGACTTTGATATTAGAATTTTTACCTTAGTGGCTATTTATGAAAAAATTGAACAACGTAGTTGTTTCTAAATAAAATACGGGCCGTTATAAACAAAATACGGGCCGTTATAAATTTTTGCTTGTTATCCTTGTTTTTTTCGTTTTGTTCTTTTATTTTATTCTTAAGAAAGAACTTTTGACAAGATTTTAAAATCGCAGCCTATATTCACATTATTCGCAGCTTATATACGCATTATTCGCAGCCTATATACACATTATTCGCAGCTTATAAACGCATTTTCATATTTTTTGAGTTTTCTTTAACTGATGATGCTTTAAGAACCATATTTTTGCTTTTGACAACATCAAACTCAGTGGAAATTGATGTTTAAAGGATCCATGTTTCCTTTTGATTTATAGAGAGGAATAGGCTTCGCTCACTTCACTGTTTTATCTGATTCTATAGCACTAAGTTATATGTTTACTTGTAATTTTTCTTTTTTCATTTTTTCTATCTATGAAAAAGTAGCTTTTAAATCATATAAGTTGATGTTTGTTTCTCTGCATTCCTGTTCATTAAAATTAGCTGCCAGTAGCCATTACCATAGAGGCACAAGCAAAATATATAAGTAGAGTCAAACAGATTCAAGATTTATTATCTTCGCCAAGATTATTTACACTTATTACGTAAAGAATATAGTCAGAATATATAAAGAATATATAACAGAACAGCTTACGCCCTAAGTCTTTTTTTAACAGTCCCTTAACAAGACAGTATCCAGATGCAGTTAGCATTTGTTCAATATATCATTTTTATTGAGAATTAATCTCTACTTTTTACTCAAACAGATATTATGGGCTGTCCATTAATTACGTCAACAAAATAGGGGGGGAGGAGGTAGGTCTGGAAATTTTTTTACAATTTTTGACTTGAGGAAGGGGGAAAGGTTAAGAAAAGTTTACGTCAACAACGTTACTTTTTTAAATAAATTTAGTTACTTTGTTACTAGTCATGTATACTTACTTAGTTACTAGTCATGCATACTTGCCGAGAAAAAAGGTATCAAAACAAGACTATTACATAACAGGATCAGACGGCCTGCCACTTACAATCAAAGTTGCTCAGTTAAAGAGAGATCTTGGAGTTTTTATCTCAAATGATTTTAAACGTAATGCTCAAGTTTTAGCAGCTGCTTAGAGAGGCTGAAAAAAACTATTTGCAGCCGTAGTTTTTCACTGTGTGAAAAAGTGTGCACCACGAATGTTCGTCCTCACTTAGAGTACCTTACCAACGGGCAGACATAGAAGCACTAAAAAAAGTTTAAAACCGTGCTACAATAACCATTTCTGAGTTTAAGCATTGCATCCACGGGCGCCGGCTTTTGAAAAAAAAAATGGAAATAGAGAAAATATATATATATATATATATATATATATATATATATATATATATATATATATATATATATATAGAAAAAACGCGAAAAAATAGTTTTTTTTTTAAAATTTTAAATTACAATTAGACATTTACATTTTACAACTTACAACTATACATAAACAGTCATTCACTTTATTTCTAAAAGAGCAACTCAAGCCTTCTTTTTTGTTATTCAAACTTGTCTACAACTTTGTCAATAAAATTTAGATAATTATTTATTCTTTTTTTGTGTACACTAGCCATACATAATCCACTTAGTCTATCGTAACTCGTTGTAGATCGGTTCCATGTTTTGACGCGCCGTAATGTGCTAAAAGATCTTTCAATACTGCAGGTTTTTGCAAGAAGTCTCATGCCAATCTTGAGTGCCTTGCATATAAATATTTGAATAGATAAAAAATCTCTTTAGAATCTTTTTATGTAAAAACAGATTAAAAAATAAAGACAAATTGGTAAACTTTTATTATTTTTGTGCAGAAGTGTCACTGGTGTATGTGTGTGTGTATGTGTGTGTGTGTGTGTGTGTGTGCGCGCGAGTGTTCTAATCTCTATGTGCAACAATAACTAATAAAATTCCTCCCAACGGGCATTTGTTTTTAAAAGCTACGTTCTAAATGTCTTTTAAATGTCTTTTAAACGTCTTTTAAACATTCTTACGTAAAGAACGTTTGAAAGACGTTTAAAAAAAGTTTAAAAGACATTTAGAATGTAACTTTGAATAACAAATGCACGTAGGGCTTGATCAGTAATAATGCTAATTTTCGATAAGAACCAATTAAGTGTGCTGTTAAAGCGTTTTATTCGTGTGATGTAAAATCGGATTTGTGATTACTTATATATTTTTAATTCAAAACAATCCTAGTTAAACTTACCACACCCGGTTTCGTCTGATTCTTTGCCGTTTAGTTTAGTATTAAAACTCTTTTTATTTAAAATAAAAAACTTCTGCTCCCTTAAGTATATTGCCCAGGGCTTCAACAATATTTTTGTTATGAAATAAAGGGTACTAGTAAGACTGGGATTTGTGTGTGTCCGCAGACATTAATCAACCTCGGATTAAAACGGATAAAGAATGTTGGAAAATCTGCGTAATTCTGTATATCGCCATCTATAGTTAAATCTATTTTTAAATCAATACTTTTATTCATTTTAAAATAATAACAAGAAGATGTTAATTGTATATACCAAATTGTTATTAATAAAAATTAATAAAAGTTATTAACAAAAATGTTAGATTTTTTTAAAATGGTTATTTTTAGCAAATTTAAAAAGTAAAATACTTTGAAAAGTTACGATTTTCAGATTTCTTATTACATATGTAATTAAAAATATAAATTACATATGTAATTAAAAACATACAAATCATAACATTTTGTTGATGTACATGTGCACCATATACATGTTTGTGAGTACATGAGTATGTGCATGTACTTATATTGTTTATGGCAAATAAGAGAAATTAGATAATAAATTAGAGAATCGGTTGTACTTTGGTTAGTTTTTAACTTAAGTTTTTTGTTTTTAGTTAATTCACTTAAAAAAAAATCATATTAGTTCTTCATCAATATATATATAGTTGATGGTAGCAATTTATTTATTTATCTTGCAAAATGCAGATGGTAGATCTAAATGACAGTCTCAAGCAAGAGATAAGATGCACCGATGCAAAGTAATTTTTTTCTTAACTTAATATAAATTTCTGTAGTTTCATTATTAACTTTTAATTTTTGTATTTTTATTGCTTATAAATTGTGAACATTTTGTGTATAAATAGTTATAACAGTTACGAAAGTGTGAAATGATGGCACTTTTTTCTTATATAGTATATTTTGGACTATGAAAAAATTTGCAATAATTTATAATAATAGATAGCAATTTTTAGTTTTAAAATTTAAACAAAAATTGTAATTTTATTATATTAAAGTTTTTGCATTATATTACTTTATTAAATTTAGTAAGCGTTTGAATAATAACTAAAATTTAATATTATTGTTCCTCAATGACAAGTTTGGACTTGCTATAACTGATGAGTTTTAACTCAAATAAAGTTCATTTTAACTAGATAAGCTTGTTTTGAGAACATTTTATTTAAAAATTTATGAAATAGCTTGATCAGCAGCAATTGATAAAATTAGCTGCTGTAGTGTGCTAACAGCGCACTAAATGGTTCATAGCAGATACACCATTACTAGTACTAAAAAAATTGAACTTAAATATTATTTAATTTAAAATTTAAAAAAGTAATTTAAGTTTGAGCATTTAATATAATTTTTTTTACAAAAAGAATTAATGAAATAATAAATAAAAAAAATTAATAAAGTAATAATAAAGCAGTTTGTAATTTATAACAAGTATTATAATTTGTATTATGCAGAGTATTATATTTTAGTTTTTCAATTTACAACTTCTTGTATTTAAGTTATATTGTTTTAAAATGTTTAAAGGTTTTTTCAAAAATTTATCTAAATATAAAAAGAACATCAACTAAAATTTGTTAACCAGTTAAAAGAAAATTATGTTTAAAAAATGATCATGAAATTTAACTTAATGAAATAGTTTGTTACAACATTTAATAAATTATGATTTATGTTATTATATTATAGAAGCAGTTTTTGACTACGTAAGTTTAAATAATTTTCATAGCGATTGCTTCACCTCAAGGCATTATCTCCCAAAAAGGGAGCAACTATTAAATGTTAAATAGGGAATTTTAAATGTTAAATAGGGAATAAGATGGTTATTAAAAGATGCACAATTTTTTTTTCTCTAAAGTTATGTTTTGCATCCATAATTTTTTTAATATACTTTAAAAAGGTTGGCAAGTGCAAAGACATTTTGTGTTGCTGTTGTAAATAAATTTTAAAAAATAACATCAGATTATTTGTTCTTACCAAAACATTTTATTGAAATATTAACAAAAATTTTGACTGTTGTGTCTCTTTGTCATTATGCTTTTGTTTTTTTAGCTTAACATTAAGTTTGTTAATCTACATAGTTTTTGTTGTTGGAAAAATATCTGTTTTGATTAATGAATGCTTGTGTTTATTATTCAAAGCAGACATTTGTATAACAGCAAAATTTAGCATGTATATATATATTTTTTTTAAAAGATTAAATTTACCCATGATTAAATTTACCATGAGTTTTCCTTTTATTAGTTAGTCTTACTTGGTTTAAATTACTTGAATTATAAAAATATAAATTATAAACTGAATTGAGTTATAAAATTATAATTATAAAATTTGAATTATAAAAAAATAAAGCTGAAGAAAAGTAAGATTAATAAAATAAGTTGTTATCAACCAATTTGTTTTAAATAATATGAAAATACAAAAAAAAATTGGATGCAAAAGGTTTTTAGGATAAAACTAAATTAAGTTATTAATAAAAAGTTATTTTTTATTAACTTTTTTATTGTTTATTCTTAATTAGTAAGTTGTACAAATAAATTAAATTTAAAACTAAAATAGTGTGAAATTTAAACTTTTTTTAAAAAATAATGTTTTTTATATCTTTAATCTTAGCCTAGCTTTTATTAAATTAAGTACAATAAAAACTATGCTATCGGGTGGACACGGAAAACTTTAAATTGAGATTTCTCTAAAACCATAAATGCTTTTTATTTCAATTTTTTTATTATTAAATGTGTTTACATAAGTTAGAGTTTCAACTTAATTTTAAGGGGCTTGATGGGTTGTTTGGCAAGAAATGGAACTTTATAGTGGGTTAATGCCATCATTTTACAGATTTTTTCTTTTTTCATTATATTGGTGGCATTAATCCAGTTTTTTTGGAATAAAGGTCCTTTTTATTATTTATTACTCCACCTGTCTTGCGAAAAACTCCTTTAACTATTGCCCAAAAATCTTCAATCTTGCGCTCTTCAGGACGATTTGAAGGTTTCGCATCTTAAGGAAAAAATTTCACATTATTATCTTTGCACCACTGTAGAACTTTTTTAGAATAGTGAGAGGCAGCAAGATTGGGCCAAAAGAGACATTAGTATTTGTGTTTTTTAATAAAAGGCAAAAGTCTTTTTTTGGAGACATTCTTTGATGTAGAGATTGGCAGTCAAGGTCTTTTTAGTGACAAAACAAGAGGACTGCATACCAACTACAAATTGCTTGCCACACAAGGAACTTGGATGCAAATTTTTCTCATTGAATATATTTAAATTGATCATCGACAGGTTTATCTTTGTTTTCATAGTAAAAATGTTGACCAGGAAGTTGTGAAAAATCTGCCTTGCAATATGTTTCATTGTCTTCAATTATGCACATATTTTTATCCACCATTATTTTAACCAACTTCTTTGCACGTCAAATCCCTTTAATTTCACACTTTAAGCTTTTCTTAGGTGTATTTTTTTTATGAAATGTTTTAATTCCAGCATTTTTTAATAATTTTTTGATATAAGAAAGAGAAGTCTTGAATTTTCTTTCTAGATCTCGCTGTGACTGGTTTGGATTTCTTGCTATTGAATGTAAAATCGACTTTTTGGATTTATGGAATTTATGGAAAACTTCCAAGTTTTCTTTCGAAGCTTTGAGTAGTCTTGAACTTGTTTATAATATCTGACTGTAGATTTTGGAATATTTGTGCGTTTAGCAATCAAGCGATAGAAAGTAAATGGGTTTTTGCAAAAAAAATTCACAACTTTTTTACGCACCTCAAATGCTTTTTATTTGAAAAAAAAAAAAGCATTTGTGGTTTTAGAGAAATCTCAATATAAAGTTGACCGGATTTTTCTGTGTCCACCCGATAAGTTAAAAGAAATAATTTCTTTTTTATTATGTATAAGATATTTTGTTGTAAAAGTTGAATTGCAGTGTAGTTCAAATAAAATTTTAATTTTAGTTCAGATTTTTGTTTGGAATTATTTTTTACTCCTGCATAAGTTCAATTTTTGATTCAGTTCTATGTTTATTGCAGCGTAAAAAAAATGTTAACACACAAAAGAAAATATTTTAATAAGCAAAGAAAGACTTTCATGGTTGTTATCTGGAAGATTAAAAAAATGTTTTAAAAGAGTATTAGTAATTAAAACATTATATTTTTTTTATGTTTTATATTTAGAAAAATATATGAAATTGTATAGACAGTTTTAAACTGTGACCTCATTGTGATCTGTGGGGCAACAAACCACTTTTTTTTGTCAGACTTGATTTGCGCTAAGAGTTAGGAATCGGTATTTTGTTCAGAAGGAAAAGGATTTGTAAAAGTGTTGTGATTTGAGGTAATTATTTTCTTTTCCTCTATAATGTCATGCCATACTGTCACTTGCCATGAAGGATTATTAAGTATTGTTCAATAATCTGATCAAGTAGTTATTTTTTGATAGAGGAGTCTGTTTTAATTTAGTTTTTATGGTGATTGTTATGACTAACAAGTTATTGGTAAGGAGGTAATTAAAAAAAGTTTTTTGTGACCGTGAAGAAGTTAATGGATACATCAAAGGTCAAAAGCTTTTAAGAAATATCACCCAATTACTGGCCAAAATACGTTTGAGAATAATAAAAAATGATAGAAATAAAAATTTTTGCAATTAATTTAGATAGTTAACTTGCCACATTGTCAACAGTCTAATAAGAGACAGGTTTCTCTACAAGAAACTAGATCCAAATCCTGGATATTGGGCCAGACCCAGATCCTAAGTCAGAGCCAAAAGAGTCTTAAGAAAGGCATCCTGAAACATTTAAAAAATTTCCTTTCCTGTTTTGATTGAGATTATTTCATAACTTATTTTATAACTTTCATAACATATTTTTTAACTTTTATAGATAGTTCTTTCAAACATCAATTTTATCTTGAATTTTATATACTCATTGCTTGAATACATACAAGCTCTAGCATCAGCTGTCAAGCTTAAATCAGGTAATATTGGGGTGAAAAAAATACAGATAGCACAACAACAAGATAAAATGGTATGCAAAATAAAAGCACAACATTATGCTCAGATACAAAAGATATCCATATAGAAGAGATAAATGCAGTAGTATCAATCTGAGGGGGTCTTATTATTGTTTGGCCTTCTGTTAGACATACAATAGTATGAATGGAAGCTTCTCCTCTTCAACTCTTCACAACAGTTGGCTAGTTTACTTTCTACTTCTACACAATGTTAAAACTCTAGCTTTAAAGTGGTTTAGAGTTTGAATTTGGTGAGGGTCTAATTAGGTTGTGGCTACACATTTTGTTAATAATGTCTGAACTGGAATATTACCCAGTTATTTATGGCATTAATGTTTTAAAATTAGCTCCAGCCATTTCAGGTATGCCATCTTCATGACAATTATAAACCATTGTATAGCCTTGTAGATAATATCTATGCACCTTATTGAGGTTATTTACCCCCCTAAGACCAAGTGGGCCACTACAGGAATTTTTATGGTTACAACCCTCTCTCAACTCTGAGTGCAGTACTACCAAAAATGTAGCAGAGATTAAACTTGTAACTTTTCTTTTTTGAATAAGAAGCTAACGCTCTTTTGAATGAGAGGCCAACACTTTATCACTAAACCACTACTTTTTACTAAAGCCAACAAATTATAAAATATATTTTGATTTTAAATTACCAACAAATTACCAAGATTTTTACGTTTTTATGTTTGAAAAAATATTGATATTTAATGGATTTTTTTAATTAATTTATTTTATTTTTTTGCATTCTGATTCACTTCCATCAAGGCTGTGAGCAACTGCTATTCAGTTAAGAGTTACTAGAAAACAAAGAATATAGTTAAAGAGCAAGGAAACAGTTGACAGAAGAATTAAAAAGTAGTTGTAAGAGCCAGGAAAACATAAAGATGAGAGAGAATTCCAAAGGGTTAAAGTGCGGGAAAAAAATTAGAGTAAAAGTTTTTAAAGCATGCAGAAAATAATTATACAGAAAAGAATGAGATTTAGCTGAATGACGATTTGGCAGAATTAAGTTTTAATTGATAGCAGGGTTGAAAAAAAACATTGTTTTTGAAAAAAAAAAACATGGTTCTATTGTTTAAAGGGATCTCCAACTGTTGAGAGAAGTTGTGTTCATATTAAAGAAAATGTTTAAAAAAAACATTTGGGCTAAATTTTTTTGATTAAAATTAAATAATGAATGCACACCATTATTTTTTTTTTGGTTCTCGGAGTCTGTTAGCTGCAATCTGCAGACTTAATAATTTATTCCATGCGTGTTTAATTCATAACAGTTTCGGTATATGACGTCACCGTATAAATTTTTACTTTCAATTATTTTTTTGCCACAATTCAAATTTCAAATCATGCTAATGGTATAACTTTTTATTAAATCTCAAAAAAAAGTTTATGATGTAATTAAAAATTAAATTTATAAAAATAAAAATGAAATATATAACGATTATTTACATAAAACATACTGGATTAAACTAAATATAAACTAGATACTAAAAGAATAATTTTACTAAAGCGTATAAATTAATTTAAAGTATAAACTGAATATAAAACAAGTGACTTGAATAAAACATATAAACTGAATTAAGTAGAAAATAAATATTAAATGAATTATTCTAATAATTCGTTTAATATTTATATTTTTAGTACAAATATTTGTTTTAACTTTAATTTAGTTTGTACAAATCAAACTAAATTAAAGTTAAAACAAGTATTTGTACTAAAATACACAAAAAATAGTTATAATATAAATATAACAATGAGGAATCGCATTAACTTGTTCGCTACCAGCTGAACAAAAATCTTTTTTGTAGCAACGTTTTTTTGATAGCATAACATTGACAGTTAATTAAAATTTGATATTAATAAAGTTTTTAACACGCGTCATTAAGCAATAAGAAATACAAAGTGCTTAAAACCATTGCTTTTATATGTAGTAACTAAATCATTAAGTCCAAAACAAACCTTGTTTAATGAATAAAAAGAATATTTTTTTCTTCAAAATACTTTGGTAAAGGGTCGCCCGTAAATTACTTAACGTGAAATTAAACTAATACACAAAAGACAAAGGTTTATATACTTACTTTAATTAAAAATTCCCTCACAGAGTTTTTAATTAAAGTAAGTATATAAACAATCTTGCAAGTCTAGTGAAAACCGCTGCGCAAAAGAGCAAAATGATCTCCTATTTATACTTTTTGAATAAGTTTTGCGTTTCTTAATTTATGGACGATCCCTAATTACTTAACTAAATACTTAACACTTCTAGTTAAATTTTACAGTGTTAACACTGTTTTATTTTATAACTAAATATAAAGAAGTTTTTTTTATAAAGGATTATTTAAGATTTTTTAACTTTGTGATAACTTTTTTATAATTACACAATATAACTCTTATTTTTTCTTGATTGTGTAGAGAGTTAATGAAACTTTTAGAACAAACAAATTCTATGTGTCTAGAATGAAAATTTATGTATAAATTGTAAAGCATACTCGAAAGCCGCTACCAGAGGCTTGCGGTAGTGAAAGAGTTAAATCATAACTGAATGTAAATTAAACATAAAACGAACAACTCTATTAAACCATATGAACTAAATATAAAACAAGAAAGCGCATTCTACTGCCTTTATTTTTTCTCTGTCTGCGAACTCTAATAATCACAAAATATGTATAATTGTGTCATGATTTTAACTGGCTTCTAAAACAAAGTAATAATAAAGTAAGTAAAAAAATTTATCTTAAAAAATGCTTAAAAAGATGATGTCATATACTGAAACTGTTATGAATTACCCACGCATGAAATAAATTATCAAGTCTGCAGATTGCGGGTAACATTATACAGACCCCGAGAACCAAAAAAAAAGGGAGAAGGTGAGCTTTGACTAAAACAATCATTTTAATTTTGTTGGTATGCATTTATTATTTAGTTTCAATCAAAAAAATTTAGCCTAAATGTTTTTTTTAAACATTTTCTTTAATATGAACACAACTTGTCTCGACAGTTGAGGATCCCTTTATACTCCCTTTTTTTAAACAAGCTGTGTTTAGTTAACTTATTCAATTAAAAAAATCATTTCACGAAAACATAATAACCAAGGGAAAATCGTCAGTCAAATTTTTTGTTCTGTTACCATTAATTGGGCTTTCATTTTTTTTTTTTTTTTTTTATTTGCATTCACTCCCAACAAGGCTGCAAGCAACCACTATTAAGTTGGGAGTTACTAGGAAAAAAAAGAACAGAGTTATAGAGCAAGGAAACGGTTGACAGAAGACTTGAAAAGTTGAAGGTTGTATGAGTCAGGAAAACATGAAGATGGGAGAGAGTTCCAAAGGATTGAAGTGCGGGGAAAAAAACTAGATGAATAAAAGTTTTTAGAACATGCAGGGACAGATACAGTAAACGAATGAGACTTAGCGGAATTACGAGTAAAACAAGAATGAATTTTAGTTGATGGAACTAGAGATGATAACTCCTTTGAGCAGTGACCATGATAGTATTTGTAAAAAAGAGAAAGAGATGCAACTTTACGACGATGGGAAAGAGGTTCAAGCTTAGCAGATAGTCCAGGTCCAACAACATTTACAATGCGTTTTTGGACCTTGTCAAGAAGAGAAAGTGAATCGTTAGAAGAACCAGCCCAAATATGACAACAGTATTCCATACAGGGACGAATAAGAGATTTGTAGAGGTAGAGATGGAATCAGAAGTAAGGAAATGGCGAGTACAATAAAGAGAAGCAACCTTAGCAGAAGTTAATTTAGCAATCGATTGTATATATGGTTTCCATGAAAGGTCAGTAGTAAGTGATAATCCAAGAAGACGTAAAGAGGATGACTCAGTAAGAGGATTGCCATTCATTAATATAGGAATGTTGACCATATTACGTACGGTAGTTGTTTGCAGTAAGCAACTGGGTTTTTTTAGAGTTGAAGTTCACAAGCCACTGTGTAGAGTTGAAATTCACAAGCCCCAATCTATTACTAAAGTGAGATCGGATTCAAGATCAGCTACTTGTTCTAGGCGATCGAAAAGAGAGGACTTTTTGTCAAGACAGGAGTATAAAGTTGAGTCATCAGCAAAAAGAGCTACTTTAGATGAAAGGTAGTCAGGAAGATCGTTTATGTAGATAAGAAACAAAACAGGGCCTAGGATGGAACCTTGGGGAACCCCAGAAGTTAATGGAAATAAAGAAGAGTGTTGGCCTTCAAGGATGACTTTAATAAACCGGTTAGAAAGAAATGATTTGATAATCTCAAAAACTTTCCCAGAAACACCATATGAAGCAAGCTTATGGAGAAGACCAGCATGCCAAACTTTGTCAAA